TTTTTTATTACTTATTAATTTAATTGTTTTTTGTTTTGATTGCGATTTATTTTTAACACGATTATTTTATATTATTTGATTTTTGATTAACAAATATTCGTTTCATCGTATTCGTATAATTATTTATTATATTGTATATTGTTTATTGATGCAAGTTTTATTATTTGTTAAAATTGAACATTTCGTTCATTTATTTGTTTTTGTTTAAATAAGATTGTGATTTATTTTTTAACACACAATTATTTTATATTATTTGATTTTTGATTAAAAAACTATTCGTTTCATCGAATTCGTATAATTATTTATTATATTGTATATTATTTATTGATACAAATTTTATTATTTGTTAATAGTGCTCGTAAATTTGGATCGAGTACTCACGAATTTTTAGAAATTTGTGTATTTGTTCATTTATATCAACAAAATTATTTTACATTTTTATTTTATTTGATTAATATTTGTTTCATCTATCGTACAATTTGTATTCTATGTAATTTATTTGTATAAATGTTACTGGTAATATTAAAAAAGATAAATAATATCTGTAAAAAAGAATATGTATTGATCTTATTTGAATTATACGAAACTTTAACGATCCTAATTACAGTATAGTTATAATACAGTACGATACAGTTAGTTACAGAATTATTATGGTAATAGTGTTCATAAATTTCAATTTTATACTCTTTCGCGAATAATCCCAAACATCCTTAATAAAAAATATATTTTACATTATTTATTAAAAAAAAAAAAATGACGAATACCTCTTAGAAATAAAATCACTCAACTTATTATTATTATTATAATTATTATTCTGTATTGTACAATGGTACGTATTAAAGAAACGAAGTAAAACTGTAACATAATTTTTGTTGTTGTTGGTTCGTAAATTTTTCACGTAATAAGAGTCATCGTAACGATGAAGTATTGTCAATAAAATGATTACTACGGTTCATTGTAAATGGGACAATTTTAAATCAACCCTCACAGCATCTCTCCCGGTCCAGGTAGCGATCGTTCAGTGAGACGTAGGGCGTGGCAACGGGAGTACCGGTTCTACCATTGGTCCGCACACTGTAAACCATCCACCAGCCTTTATATTCACTCGGAGACTGCAACGAGTAGCTTATCGATCTCGCAAACATACTTAAAATTAAATAATTCCAATATATTTTCTATCTATTTATTTTATCTATCAATGTTATCTATTTATCTACATTCTCACATAGGATTAAACGATAATTGATTTAATTTTTCTACGTTGAAGTGTTTTTTGTATTTTTTCCAGATAACCTTGAAATTATAAGATCCTTTGAGATAAGTTAAATAGTATAGGAGACAATAGAAAATAGTTGGTTTATTTTGATGCGTGTACGTTCAGGAACGCGGAAACAATATTATCATTGTACTTGTGATTATTATCCTTGAATATAATTTGCACAATAGTCATTGATCATCTTAACTTTTACTTTCTATCGATACCATAATTGATCTAGTTTTCTTTTTCATTTTGTATCAAATAAAATACAAACGAGTATACAAATATTGTTAATTTACATTATTATTATTCGAGTATGGGTTAACATAATTAAATTATTTGTTTGTATCAATATATTAGATCATATATTATTTAAATTTAATATTTTTTTGAAGTAAAAATTGTGTAACTTTATTATAATAGTATTACATATTTTCTGTGTTCGAATTTTATACGTAAGTTGTTCTGAAAACGTTTACTTTAAGAAGCATGGAAGGTAAATCGTGGAACGGATAGACCGGTTCTGCGTAATACGACGACGATTCGTGTAAATCATGAAAATTCATAGGAGCTGTTGCTTTTACTCGTCACCACTTTGTCGAGTTACGACGTAACTTCGCGTAATTTCCGCGAAGTTTCAACTCGGAATGAGTATTCGAGATAGTAACGAGATTTACGAAGCATCTTTTAACGTTAAACTGTATTGTGAGTTGTCAAATGATTGTTTAAAATAAATCCTAATATAAAATAAAATATTAATCAATTGGATAGTAAACTGAAAAAAGTATTTTCTTTTACTTAAAAATGAATAATGTTTATTTTATGCATTTTTTTAAACTCAGAACAAGTATGAAATTTATCTTTTAAAATTAAACTGTATATGTTAATGATTAAATAATTATATGATTCTTTAAAATAGAAATTATATGTACTAATATTTAATGAAATATTATTCAATTGGATAGTAAACTAATTAAAATATTTTCTTGTATTTAGAAATGAATAATGTTCATTTTATGCATTTTTTTAAACTCAGAACCAGTACGAAATTTATCTTTTAAAACTAAACTGTATATGTGAATGATTAAATGATTATATAATTTTTTTAAATAAAAATAATATACCCTAATATTTAATGAAATATTAATCAATTGGATAGTAAACTAATTAAAATATTTTCCTTTTTATTTAGAAATAAATAATGTTCATTTTATGCATTATTTTTAACTCAGAACAAGTACGAAATTTATCTTTTAAGACTAAACTGTATATGTGAATGATTAAATGATTATATGATTGTTTAAAATAGAAATTATATGTACTAATACTTAATGAAATATTAATCAAAAAGACTAAAAAATGTATTTTCTTTTATTTAGAAATAAATAATGTTCATTTTATGCGTTTTTTGAACTCGAAACGAATACAAGATTCTAATTTTACTGAAACTTTCTACACTATCCTAATATAGAATGAAATTGTAGCCAATTGGATAATGAACAAAATCATTTCTTTTACTATGTAATATACATAATGTTTATTTTATAGGTTTTTTGAACTTGGAACGAGTACAAGATTATCTTTCAACATTAAACTTGTCAACCCTTCATGTATACTTTTATCGTGAGTACTCAAATGATTGCTTAAAAAAAAAATCATTTATTTTGATATAAAATGAAATTGTTAGCCAATTGGATAATGAACAAAAATATTTCTTTTAATTTAGATATGAATCATACACGTTTCATGTGTTTTCATTACACAATTTTTTACAAATAATAGAATTCTTACAAATAAATGCATTTTTACAAATTACAACAGTTTTATCATTTGACCTCACACGATAGGATTAGTGGTAAAGTATTCCGATTAGTTATAATACATTTTAAGTAGACCATTCTCATTTACACTGACTAAATTTATTAGCGTTCTATAGTAAACGTATTATCTAATCACGTTTCAGTAATAGAAAACTTTAGACGATGATTTGACGTTTTTAATATTGAGTTCAAATATGATGCAATAATGAACTTGATACCACCACTTACGATGTATACATATTTTAAATATAATTAACCAACAATTAGTTAATTCACTTGTTTACCGATTCGATAATAATTAACAACAGGTTGGGTTTTCCCTGTCGAATGAAACACCGAGTGATTCCCCATTTTAATCTCATCGTGTCATCTCAACTGGAACGACGATTTTTTCTTTTTTGTTCAAATCCTTGTCCTAATACAAAAAAAGAAAAACCGATTAATTTGTCCGATATAAGAAACAAACAACAAATCCGTGTATTAGTAGTTAGAATTATTGTTAAATATCAAATAAATATGTTTTATCTTTAAAACATCATTTCGGTACTTCGTAGAAACTATGAAATGAAGATAGTTAAGATGAAATTCCAACGAAAATACTTGGGTGTAGTCGTATTCTAACATTAGAAATAGATTCACTTGAAATAAGTGTGGGCTTTGGGTATACGGAAACGATTTCAAACTTCGACTAATTTTAGATTAACCGAATGAACGAATTATACTACCATACCTTAATAATATAATCCTAATTTATACGATCGATAAATTCAATCTATAATATATTTGTAAAACAAAACAAAAATATATGCAGATTATATCAAATGAATGTATTTGTTTTGAGGATGCAATAAAATTGCATTAATTTGACGTAACCACAAACTATGGGTAAGTCGATAAGATAACATTAGGCATGTTTTCAGATCGGTTAGTAAACACTTAAACGAAGAGCCAGACATTACGTAATCATGCCGGCATGACTCCTCTTATGTTAGTTTCAACTTCGTGCAAATATAACGTCTCTTGTTTGTGGCATAATTCTCATCAGAAGTTTATCATTCGTGTCCTAAGTGTCGACTACTTTCATACCTTCAAGATTATGTTATACGTTGTTACACCTGCTTTAGTGTTTCATACATCAATATAAATTTACTAGACGTATATTAAATAAATAATAAATATATAATCATTTTCATAAAAATGTATCAACGTTGTGCACGTATATCATCAATAATTAATATACTAAACACAATGTTTCTTAGAATTATCTGAATACATACAAGTGCATTAAAAACGTTAATACAAATTCATTTCCATTTATCCATCATAAATAATAATAAACAAAATGAGGACGCATAAAAGTATATTAAAAAATGTCTAAAAAGTATACGTTAGAATTGTTTGGAAATAATCATAAAAAAAATCATGGTTGAAGAAGGTTGAGGTGAAGGAGGAGAAGGGGGGAATTATCAAAAGAAAAAAATAATAATAATAAGAAGAAGAAGACGCGTGTGATTATTTCTGAGTTGTGTTACCGCACGTGCTTCTTCATGATCGTTATTGTTGTATAATATAACTCATGCATACAATACGCCCGCGTGCGGGCTAGTTTCTATGTAAATAAAGGTCGCCCACGATTGGCGCAAGCGCCCCACTTATATATCACATAAATGTGTGTACATAACCAAGCTTAACATTAATACTACGAATCTATATATATATACATGCATATGTACGTAAGTACATATATATACATGCATATGTGAATGCATATGTACGTAAATACATATTTATATATATATATATATATATACATATATCTATGCATATGTGAATGCATATGTGAATGCATATGTACGTAAGTATATATATGTAATACGCAAGAGAACGTGTCAGAGTCACCTATATAGTTAACACAACTAAGCTAATATTCTTCCTCCGAGTTACTATCGAACTAGTACAAGTGATATATTCGAACGGAGTCGTTCCACTCCTCTCGCGATTACTATAATCATTTTAATTTAATTACCCTACTATTCTACACCACCCCTTCCCAACCCCACGTTTGTTTATTTACCGAATTTTTGATTAAACTTCTTAACGTAAATTTTTGTTTGTCGAATATATTTCGAATCTATTGATGAAAATATAAAATCCGTAGCATAGTTTTATGGTTGTTCATATTGTTGTTGTTGTACTTTTGTAATTGTTGAACAATTCGTTTTCGTGTTAAGAAGAGTGAAGGAAAAAATTAGAAGTCAGAGGTGGGGAGAAAGAAAAATAGAAGAAGAAGAAGAAGATGGTATAGTTTGAGAAAATAAATAAAACAGGAGTATCATCGACGGATTTAAGCTTATCATTGGCAGCACCGTTATTTTGGCCTTGAAGAGATATCAAACTGTTCGTAAGAAATATTCAGAGAGAGACACACCGGCAGTCTGTTCGTGGCTTTCGTGTTACTTTAAGCCCGTCGGCAGCTCGAGAAAGTCTACGATTTGTAAGAAAAATCTTTGATAGGAACGTTGGATCTAATTTCGAAATTGTCTGGATAAGATTTGTCGGATAATCAATGTAAGTCGTTATATTTTTTGTTCTTTAGTTTTTAGATCTTAATCTTAAACCTTAATAAGAATTATTGAATTGTTTTATATTATCGAACAATCTGGATGAATCAATTATAAGTGAGAATGATTTTTATTCAAGATTTCAGTTCATTTTTACATTTT